ATAGCACATCAGTTGAAAATTGTCTATTAGAATTTTGTAGTGATTACAAAACTTCGCGGTGCCCATTTGCAGTGTCTGCTTTTCAGTAGTGTTTGCTTTTAGAGACTATATAAATTGAAATGTCCTTTTTATTCAATAGAAAAGTTTGTAGTACCAGCTCAATACCAGCTGTCCACTTTTTCATTTCAAGAGTTTGTTGGACCAGCTTTTTGAGTTTTTAGTGTCCCCTTTTTCAGACTACAAGAATGTGTACTGTGTCTTGTCATGTCCTTGACTCTGAGTAGACAAGTTGACTTAGCCACATACCCTTTAGCTGATACTACAATGAAAAAGGGGAGAGTGCAAACTTTTCTAATAAATAAAAAGGGGCCTACTCTATGGGGGAAGAATCATAGGTACAAACTTTTGTAACAAAAAACGAGGAGACTATAAAATTTTGTAGTCCCAAAAGCTGCAAGCAAAGACTGCAAGGTTTTGTAATGCAAAATGCAGACCCTCAAAATTTGCCATTCCCAAAAAGCAGACTAGAAAGTCCTGTAATTAAAAGGGGGGATACTACAGAACTTCATAATGGACACTACAAATTTGAACTTCAACGTTGACGCGAACGTCACAAATTTGAACTTGAACGTTGACGCGATTTGAACTTGAACGTTGACGCGAACGTCACACGCTGTGACTTCGTGACGTTGCTGCTCGCGTCAACCCCACGACAACCCCACGACCAACTCACCCGACCACCACCACAAACGACCCCTGCCGCCCACAAACGGCAACAACTGCTACAAACCACCTGCAACGAGGACAACCGGCAAAGGACGACAACCGGCAAAGGACGACCAACGCCCAAAAACGTTACCACACCGCCTACCTAGCAACAACGACAACGGAAACGACGACGCGCAAACGACGACCAGCGCCGATGAAAATCGACCAGCGCCCACGAAGATCGAGTGACGTAGCTGTCAGCTACGTTGCAAGGATGCGACGCAGATGGACGAGGGATGACGACGCGCAGATGGATGAGGGACGACGACGACATGCAGATGGACGAGGGACGACGACGTGCAGATGGACGAGGGACAATGGCGGCGATGAGTTACATCGTCGTCGTCATTCTACGTTGGACACGAAGGGAGACGAGGGACGACGACGATGACATTGTCATCGTCGTCGTTTTACCTCCAGTACGGTAAGCAGCCCACTGCCCCTTCCACCACCCATATAACTCACACAGGACCACCACCGTCGACCGCCCACTCCACCAGTGGGCAGTCGACGACTAGCACCTCCCACGTCACCCCTCCCCAAAGGGAAGGGCATGCCGCCCGCCGACCGCGTGCAACGATGGAAGAACGACGACGGGCCAACAAACGACGGACGGACGACGACGAAGACACGCCGAGCGCCCACCACCTTGAAGACGCGCTGGGCGCCCACCCCCACGAACGAACATGAGTGCCCACCAACACCACCTATAAACGGCGACAACTGCCTTCTGACTCCCTCCCTCATTCCTTCACTCCCTCCCCCATTCTTTCCCTCTCTCCCCCATTCCCTCCCCCACTTCCTCCCCCATTTCCTCCCCCATTTCCTCCCAATTCCTTCACTCCCTCCCCCTTTCCCTCACTCCCTCCCCCATTCCCTCCCTCACTCCCTCCCCCATTCCCTCCCCCATTCCCTGACTCCCTCTCCCATTATCTTACTCCCTCCCCCTCCCCCTCTCCCTCACTCCCTCAGTGCACACCACTCCCTCCCCCTCTCCCTCTCCCTCACTTCTCAGCACTCCCCCTCCCTCTCATTGCCTGCCACCCCCTTCCCCCTCCCTCATTGCCTATAACCCCATCCCCCCTCACTCCCTTTCTCTATATTTCTTTATTTAATAGTCAATGTAGTAATGTAAGTCTATGTAG